AGGTACTCTACCCTGGCTTCTCTCGCTGCACCTTCTGGGCCTGCTTGGGATGGCTAGAGGCCTTGGACTCCGTTATTAATAGCTACCCCCCCCACCCCCACAGGCTGAGCACTGGTGAAGCACTAATGCTCCCAATCCAGCACGTTCATCACAGTGTTTGCCTTCTGTATGTGGTTCACGTAGAATAGTGTGAAACCCTTCTGGGCCTGCTTGGGATGGCTAGAGGCCTTGGGCTCCGTTATTAATAGCTACCCCCCCCACACCCCCACAGGCTGAGCACTGGTGAAGCACTAATGCTCCCAATCCAGCAAGTTCATCACAGTGTTTGCCTTCTGTATGTGGTTCACGTAGAATAGTGTGAAACGGCACACACACAGGCACATGCCTTCCTCCATCCAGAGCTGGGCTGCCAGCCTGTCATGGATGTGCCTTGCACAACTCTGGTGCCTCTCCAGGATATTGAAGTTGAAAGCCCAGTCCCATGGCAGGGCATGGCTGTGGGAGTCAGAGGTCCTCCCTTTCTCCCCAGGAACTCGCGTGTGACCCGGTAGGTTGGGCAACCTCCAGCTGTCAGATGAGGTTGTTGGCTACTGCGGCTTTTTCTTGATAGCTTCACTGCTAGAGGAATGGGGGTGCTGTAGATCATGAGTTCTGCATCAGCTGCTGACGGAGCCCCTTATCACTTATACTCTCTTGTACACTGGAGCCATCAGATTAGTCGGGGCCCAGGAAGCCCTTGGCACGGGATTTCACCCATATGGTGGTGATGGTATTCCTGTTTGTGGAGGGGGAAGCAGGCTCAGTGTGCTGGGTATCCTGTCGATTCCACACAGCTTGCTAGAACTCAGATCCCTGATTCAGAGCTGCCAGAAACCCTTGAGACCCTGCATCCTCCAAGGAGCTTCAAAGGGCCTCTTGAGGGATGTCACTGCAGGTTAGGGAGTGGGGCAGCATGTCAGTAAATTTCAGTTTATTAAGCTATCCACTTTCTAACCTGTTGAAAGGATATGACAGCCCCGTTTGGACAGTGGCTGAACCGTGTGGCCCAAGCTTAGTGTGTATTGGGTGTGCCAGACGCCTGGGTCCCACCCCCATACCAAGAGAAAAGTCGTTGGAAAGCACATGGGTGAGAGCAGGGCATGGGAATTCCAGTACATGTGGCCAGACTGCTAGTTGCTGTGTTCGCAGAACATTGAAGACGCCACAGCTAGCGGAGGTAGCAAGCCAGCCACGAGACCCACATCCCAGACAGGGTCCCAGGGTCCCTTGCCAAGTGTTATGTTTGATGGATGCTGTGCTGGGTGTGCCCTGGGGTACTAGGCCGGTCCTCTTTAGAACCAGTGAAGCCACCAGCCACTTCATCTGCCCTGTTAGGGGACCTTGGGAGACAGTGGCATTGCTGGTAGGGTCTTGGCAGGACCAGTCTCACTTGCCTGGTGAGTTTCCAACACTGGACCCATGGGATGGACCAGTGGGATGAAGCAGAGGCTCTCTCTGGACAGTGCAGGCTGTCTCTGCCCCAAGTGTGGTCCTTTAGAGGGCAAATCCTGGCGGCACACCTTACATGTACAAGGGACAAAAGGGCTAGTCCATAGCCTGGTGCCAGCTGTGCCAGCCCAGCTGCACGTGGTGGGGTGGTGACTGGGGCACTGGCTCTGCCGGCCCATCCAGACAGGGAGAGGGTCTCTCCAGTACACTGTTCCTCAGTCAGTGTGAGCTTTGGAGCGCTGTGGCCAGCCAGGTGGCTCTGGGTATCACATGCAGCTGGGCAGGGACGGGAAGCAACCTGACAAGCCAAGAGCACTTGCTGGGCCTGTGGGACAAGGGCCCGACCGCGGGCTATCTGCACCCAGGAGAAGGCCCTGGGTTTTATCTCCCTGGCCCAGCTGCTACTGTAAGCTAGCACAGTCACACTTATCTGGGGGTGCTGTGTCGGGAACCCCATCCAGTCCTTGCATCATAGCCACCATCATTCCCCTGCCATAACAGCAGTGGTCACAGCAGCCAGTGCTCAGGACTGCCTGTGTCTGCAGGTGGGAAACTAAGCCCTGGGGAGGCTCAGCTTGTCTGAGTACGTGGGAGGTTCCTTCTGGTCTCCTGACTGCCTCCTATGGCGACAGTCTCGTGAAGGACAGAAACCCCTGGCTTCAGATGAATTCATTTATTTAAGATTATTTCATCTTGAAAACAGGGCACTGGAGCATAATAACACCCTTGTTTGCGCATCACCAAAAGCCAGTGAGCATTACCGGTTTCATCACCCACTTCAGTCTTCTTAGAAGGAAAGAGAGCGGATAGAGTCCCTTTGTTCTGTGACCTGGTTATTTTAAGGTCAGGGGAGGGGTCGCACCTCAGTAGATTTTCAACCCCAACCCCAATTGGGTTGGCCTGGCACCTGCTAGCCCGCCTCTGTCCACCTGGCTGGGAGCCTGGGCTCAGGCCCCATTTTGGCCAGAGAGCAGCTGGCATGACTCTCAGGCAGGGCAGGGTGTTGGGGCAGCAGAGGGGCCTCTGTGACAGCCAGGGTGCTGCCACCTCTGATCTGCCCTTCCCTGAAGGTTCAGAGGGACCCCACACAGGTGACCCAGCAGAGGCCCAGCTCCTGTAGGTCTGAAGCCCACAGCAGTGTCTTGCTCCCAGACAGGAAGCCAGAGACCATAGCTGCCAAGGCTTCTGTCTGGCAGGCTAGGCGGTTCGGCTCAGCCACACCTCCTGCTTGCCCACCACAGCTGAATACGGAGCGTGATGCAATCTGCAGGCTGCTTGCTACAGCCGGAGCTGGTGTCTGGGGAGGAGGGCTCAGAGGCACCATTAATGGCTTCTTACTTCAACACACACCTATCAGGAAGCAGGAGACTCAGCAAAGCTGAGACTGAGCCTGGTGATCTCATGGGTGGAGACACGGGGTGGGGGCGGGTGGTGCAGCATTTCAGCGTCCCTCTTTCGTCCCTCTGGTCCTCCTTCTCTCGTTCCCTCACTCTGGGAGACCTCGGGAGTTTTCAAGCACGTGTGTACTGCGGCAGCCGCTTGGCTCCTGGAGCTTTCCTACAGCAGCAGCCTGGTCTGTCCTGCTGGTGTTGCATCAGCCAGAGCTGTAAAGAGGGAGCCAGCTTAAAGCTAATGAGGAACCAAGGACTTCCTAGAGATAAGTAGCCACCCCTGTCCCCACCCCCATCACCAGGGAGTGTTTCTTGTTCCTGTCATCCTGGTGTAGGCTGTTCCAGTTAATTATCATGGAATCGGGTCTTTGAGGCCTGTTCCTCAAATTGCTAATTAGGTGTAATGGGAGGAGGGTTGGAGACCTGAGTTGACTTGGCCTTTCTGGGAGCAGAGAGCAGAGCAGGGGCAACTGAACTTCCTGCAGCCTGGGCTAGCCCAACATACTAGACCCCTGCTTTGCTGGGGTCCTCCCAGGCTGCATACTGCTCTGGCTAATGTTTGACCAAAGCTGATCAGGAACCTCCCCTCCCCCTCCCTGATGCTCTTCAGAGAGCTGGAGCTGGGGAGGCAGGACCGCTTGCCGTCCCTGTCCTGTGTCTGCCATGGGCAGTTGCCACTAGTCACCTAAAGCACCGAGCTGTAAATAGTAGAATCGGCTCCTTGCTCTGGTATTTTCATGTCAGCTTACATTAGAACGGCTCCGTGAATGTTTCCATTCGACAGAAGCTCCCACTCCACAGACTCACCTATGGCTGGGGGCCCGTGCAGTTCGGCCCTTGTCAGCTGCCCGTCTGCAGCTCCTCTCGGCTTCTGAGGCCCTGTCTACAGAACACAGTGCGTGCAGTTCCTTGGGCATCTATAAACATTCATTATGGCAGTCGGTTTTCCGTGTATGCTGGTTAAACAGCAGAATTGGCCCATGAGTCTGCTCTTTCCCTCCCTGAGCACACCTGCACACAGTGGCTTGTGGGGATTTCTGCTGGCAAGAGCTGGGCTCTGGTCATCGATCCTCACCTGCACCCCATCGCAGCCTGTGCCCTCTTTGCCCCATTCGCTCTCGGCATCAACAGGACGCTTTGCTTACCTGCCTTGTGGAAGGTTGTCTTTGAGGAGAAGGCCCCCCGCAGTCCACGGTGCTGTGCTGTGCCCTAACAGGTGCTGTTGGAGGACAGAGCAGGTGAAAGGGTCATGCAGCCATCCTCCCCAGTGGCAGGTGTTTGGATGTAACTTGAGTCTGAACCTGGTGCTCTCCCGCAGGGACTAGGTGTACACAGGTGCACAGCAGGTGAAGGTGGGTCTTCTGGGGAGTCCCCCAGGAGGCTGAGAGCCACTCACTTGCAAGGCAGTTCTATCCAGGCATGATGGCACGTGTATAATACCAGTGTTCAGGAGGCTGAGGAGGGAGGATGGAGAGTTCAGTGCCAATGTAGCTATATATAGATCCTGCCTCAAAAAGGCCCCGGATAATGGGACTGAAGAGATGGTTCAGTGGTTACAAGTATTGGATGCTCTTGCAGAGGACCTGGGTCCAAATCCCAGCACCCACATGGTGGCTAACAACCATCCTTAACTCCAGTTCCAGGGGAATCCGATACCCTCTTCTGACCCCCACGGATGCACTTAAACACATGCAGGCAATATACTCAACATAAATAAAAAAATTTTTTAAAGACCCAGATGATAATAGTAAGTAAAAGGAGCCAGGCCTGGTGGTGTAAGCTGGTCATCCCAGCACTCAGAAGACTTGCAGGAGGATCTTGAGTTTGAGGCCAGCCTGGGCTCCATGTCAGACCCTCTCTATAGAAACCAATCTGTAGAAATTCTTTTTTGGTGACCCAGGGCACCTGGTATCAGGCTCTTTAGAGAGTTGACATTTCTAACCTTTGACCTTGACCCCAGAGAACCAGCAACCTTATCAGAAGTTCCTGAAAATCAGAGCCCATGGGCAGGGCTTCTGTCCCTGTGGAATTCTAGCTAGGAGACCTGACCCCTCCTGTCCCCCTACCCCAAGCTGTGACCTTGTCCTGTGGGGACTCACACTACACTGCTCTGCCCCACAGTGCTGCTCACAGCTGTGAACTGCTACAGCGTGAAGGCCGCCACCCGTGTGCAGGATGCCTTTGCTGCTGCCAAGCTGCTGGCCCTGGCCCTGATTATCCTGCTTGGCTTCATCCAGATTGGAAAGGGTGAGTGACTCAGCATGTAGCACCCACTGTGTGTCCCCTGTGGTGAGGTGAGGAGTCTTGGTCCTTGACTGCCTGACCGGGGACATCGAGTTGGCCCTAGGGAAGAGCGTGGGAAGGGGCTGGGTGAGGGCAGGAGTCTGTGGAATCCCAAGTGTCTGTCCCTTTGTGCATGGGGGAGGGCAAAACATCCCCATCTGCAGGACCTCACCTGTCAGATGACCCCCTCCCACCACCTGGTAGCAGCTTGTCCCATGTGCAAGGTGCTCTGTGAGGGCTGGTTTGTGAGGCAGGCATGGAGCTCCTCTGTCTACTGTGGGGAACCCGGAGCCCCTGGTGTCCTTTGGCCAGTGATGGCTCTTGGTGATTCTCATGCCTGTGTGTTCAGGGGGCCACAGGTGCTGGGGACTTGGGTTCAGGGACTCCTGAAGAGTGCCTTCACGGGGCTAGGCAGTTAAGAGCACTGGCTACTCTTGCAGAAGACCCAGGTTGGGTCCCATCACCCAACTGGCAACCAACAACCGTCCCTAACTCCAGTTCTGGGGGCACCCTCCTCTAGCTGCCTTAAGCAGGGGCTGCCGGAAGGACTGTATTCTGTGCATGTGTGATGTTTCCCTGTATGTCTGGAAGACGCAGTGCATACCGAATACATCTGTCTTCCTGTGTATTCAACTACCGGTCCACCTGTGTGCCACAGCTGTTAAGACGGCACAGTAAAAGTGTGGTTTGTTGAACAGCCCTTGTTTAGGGTATAGACTCAGAAACATGAATGCCCAGCCTCTAGGGTGCATTGAAGTGGAGGGTCTGTGCCCTGGCCAGCCCTGTGCCTCTGTCTTACAGTCCCTGCTAGCTTGTCTCAGTATGGCTAGTGGCCTAAGTGAAGACTGGGTAGAGTTGGCTGAGCTCCTGGTAGGGAGCTGTGTGCAGTGGCCACTCCTGCAGAGAGGTAGGAGTACTGCTCAGACAGATCCAGAACATGTGGACTCGGGTACTTGGCGGCAGTCAGTGCTCAGCATCAGTCAGTGGCCAAAAGCTGCTGAGGAGACCCTTGGTCCTGGGGTGGCCTTGGGGCAGGTTGGGGGACCCTCTTCTCTACACAGATGAGACGTAGGTTTAGCATGGAGCTGGGACTCAGGCCAGCTCAACCTCACCTCTTCTGGTCCTCTTATAGGAATAAAGTCCTAAGTCCCTGGGTGCAACTGCTGTCTCCTCACAGGCCATTCTCTCCCCCATGCTGATGCCTCCTGGCTATGAACTGGGTAGACTGGAATGGGGCAGCTGCCCGCTGACTGCCTGTGATACAGTCGGCCTCTGCCTTGCCCCCTCCTTGGCGCCTCACTTCACAACTTGAGCCTGCCTGGGAGCATGTGTCCACAAGTGTTCAGGAAAGCCTAAGGCTTAGCCTGCCCTCACCTGCTCTCCTGCCCTGAGGCAGAGTTCCTGAGTGTACCAGTCAGTACCAAGCATTTATGTATGACTGGAACAGTTTGCTACAAGCCTCGAGTAGACAGCAACTCTGGAATATCGCCCAGGTGTTCCTTCCAGAGCTGAACTTGGTTCTTCAAGAGCATCTGGCCAAGGGTTCTTAGAGGCAGGTGAACTGCCCACCTGGAGTCCATAGCAGGGCTGGCCTGAGGCCTTTGCCCTTCACCTACTACGAGCCTTCCTGGGGCTCCAAAGAGTTCCAGCACCTTCCCAAATGCCTTTTGGAGGCCATTCCTGTCTCTGGATCCCAGCAGGCAAGGCCCCCAGAGACTCAGAGGTGATGGCCAGCCACCACGGGGGAGCTGGGCTGAGCAGCACCTAGACCACCAAGACCTGTTTAACGGGCAGAAGAAAAGGCATATTCTGCCCCTCAGGCTAGGTTCTGCTGTGGTACACATGGCCAGGGTGCTGGCAAGGGACCTGTTTGGTGCTGTGATTAGGTACAGATAGTGGGGAATTTAGGAGCAGAACCTGATTTCTGAAAAAACAAACATCAGCGGGGCACAACAGAGCTTTTGTTGGGCTTGAATGTACAATATGTTTATAATTCTGGTGACTGCACCCCCCATCCCCACCCCTAGCCGTTCCTTTCTGAGCTCTGGGATGCCTTGTGCCGTGTCTGTAGAATTCCTGTGCGGATCTCTCGGGGATTTGCTCTGTTCCTGGACGGATGCCTTGGCTTCTGGAGGATGCCATGTTGGAATTCTGACCCCTCTCTCGCAGAACGCTTTCCCAGGCTTATTTCCCATCGAGTTCAGAGTCCTTGGGTGGCCAGCATGATTGCCAGGTCCTTCAAGGCAGAGGCCCTGCTTCTGGTCATGTGCATGTAGGCTGCTGTCCATCCATGGGCCCAGGCTAGTGGAAGCCATCTCCACGGTAGTCTGGCCCTTATACTGGTTCTGTCTGTCCGCCCCTCTCCTGAATGTTATCTCCACCTGGCTCAGGGCAGCTTCCTTATGAAAGTAACCCTGTTGCTGAGGTTGTTTCTTTGTGAGGGAAGCTGATGAGCCTGTGGGCAGTTGTTCACTCTGTCTACCCCACCAGCCTTCAGTAGAAGGCCGGGCCCCTACACACATGTGATCCAGTACAGACTGTGGACGGGAGAGGCACAAACAGGGCCAGGCAAGACTCTAACCCAGATATATACCCTCCTAAGCATCCAATCTCCCCAGGTCCCAGAGTTGGAGGAGCCTTGGCTAGTACACAGGGCGTTGGGGGATGACCTCGGCCTAAGGCTGGTGTCACAAGGTGTCTGGACTTGGTCCAGTGTTTTCAGAAGTGCACACAGTACCCAGACTGGCATTAAATCTGACTGACTTGAGGCTGGACTCGTGGATGGGGGCGGGTGAAATGTGGTGGTGGCTTGGACAATGTGACCCCAGAGAGAGAGGCCCTGGAGGCAGAGCCTAGAGCACCCGAGGTCAGAGAGACAAGCAGGTGACAGATGTGGTGGGCAGGGACTCCTGGCCTTCACCGCTTGCGTCCTTTTTTGATCAGATGGCCCCTCACCCACAAGACCCTGCAGGGGCCATGGCTAGAGGTCAGGCCTTTGTCTCCAGGCCAGGTGTAGGCGTAGGCCGTGGAAGCCTTTTCTCTTGTGCCCAGCAATGGGCCCAGGTCCCCAGAAGACACACAATGGCTCCCTTGTGTTTGTACTTGGGCTTTGCTATCATCAGCAGAACACTGAGCTCCCAGGGCTGTTCCAGATTAGGACAGCGTCAGATGGTGTTTTCTAAAACCTTTCTCCTTCCCTCCCACCTTGATTCCTCTTGCGGGACCTTCACTGGCTAGCCCTATCCACACAGTGCGAGCAGCCTGTTAATGTGGGCTGCGAGCAGGCTGCCACCTCCCATGCCAGGGCTCTTGGAAGGAGACAGTGCTCATTTCTCTTTTGGCTCTGGCCTTTGGCAGTTGGTGACAGCAAACCCACGGCTAGCTCAGGAGACTGGGCCTGTTCCACACTTCCTAGGTTTCAAAGTAATTTTCATTTGTTTCTTAGTGAGGTCCCCAGGTTCAGAAGTGTGGTGTTCAGCCCCAGTCCTGCGATTCATGAACAGGAAGGCGGGTCCCATCGGGACCACAGGCACGGCGTGCAGTTGGAGGCACTGTGCTAGAGTGCCGAGGCTGGCTGTGTGCTGTGTCCTGAAGAGGTACCCAGAAGCCTGAACACTAGCTCCCTTTTCACCTGACCCTGACTCCTGCCAGCTTCCCACAAGGACAGAGACAATGGCAGGGTGGTCCACATCGGGAAGGGCCGTGGCAGGCTGAGAGCTGCCAGCTTGTGGGTGGTGCTTTCTCTCTGTGTCTGCCTGAGGCCGGGAGTCCCCTGGGTCTCCTCACATAAGGACACTCCTCTGCCCAAATGCAGTCACACTGGCTCAGGGCTGCAGCACTCCAAAGTCATCTTAACTGAGACTGGAGGTGTGTCGGAGGGAGGGCGAGGGAGAGAGAAGAGATGGAGGGGGCAGGGAGGGAGAGAGGGACGGAGAATAAATGGCCTTCCACGGCCAACGCCATGTTTGGAGGGCTTGCCCCCAGCTGGCTTCCCCTTTAGGGTGGGGTTATTGTGGAGTGGCATCTCAAACTCGACATACTAGGCAGGCTGAATGCCATGCAGGACGTCTGCACACTCCAGATGTGTGACAGTCTGGGAGCCAGTCCTCCACACTGGGTGCCCTGTACATTGGATGGAGGAATAATCCTCCTGGAACACCCAGGGCAGCAGACATGTGGCCTTACGTCTGCTTGCTGTGCCTGATAAAGACTGTTGTTGGACCTAGAGCCCGCTGGTTTAGCCACCTGGACATCAGCTATGTCTGCAAAGGCCACCCTTCCAAGTGAGGTGCACCCACACGATACTACTCAGACCCCAGAGCTTAACTGAGTGCATAAATGGTCTGCAGGCAGCCAGAAGGGAGCAGGCCCAGTGCAATGCAGTCCTCGGGTTATGACTCTGTCATCAGGGTGTCCCAAGTCTCCCAGCCCCATGCTGGCTCAGGACTGGCCACTTGTCTGCATTGCTGGTTTTCCCGGGCCTGGTGCTCAGGCCTTTCCCCACGCTGGTGCACAGAGGGCCAGTCAGGTCTGACATACCGGGCTCCGGGAGCCTCTGTCCTGAGTCAGGGACCTCAAGGCTGGCAGTGTCCCAGGGGTGACCCAGGAAGGCGGTCATTGCAGTTCATTCCTCCATGTATGCAGCATGGTGGGTGCCTGCCCAGTCATCTGTCAGTGAAAAGCGGAAGGTAGGAGGAGCCCTAGGCTCCAGCAGACTCCTCCCCTGGGGTGGGTTCCCGTAGCCACACTGCATGACACAGTTGGCTAGGGCTGCTGTCCCTGAAATCCTCTTCCCTGGGCCTCTGATCACTCCCAATCCTGCTACCCCAATGCTCCAGGACACTGTGGTCTCTGGGGTTTGCCGTGCTCTTGGTATCTGCTGGTGTGTAGCCTTTCACAGAAGTGCGTTAGAAAGGCGTGTTTTATGGCTGAGGACTGGGAGGCCTGCAGTGAAGGCACCTGAGAGGCTGCGAGCCAGGTCGCAGCTGACATACAGCCTCTTCTCCCACTCTGGCTGAGGCAGCTCATAAGCCCAGGGGAAGGGCAGCGGGGCCCAGGGAGGGACATGATGGAGACCTCCTGCCACAGCCAACATTATCTCACTGCCTGCCTGCCTATCCTGTTACTGTGGTCTGAAGGAAAGAGGCACTGAGTAGCACAGAGCTCTGCTGTCCTTCCCTGGAAAAGGCCTAGGGAGTCAGCTCTGCCTGGCCCTGGCCTTTGGCAGCTTATAGGCCCATGTCACTGGACCTGGCATTGCCTCCTTGGATGGTAGGGCTTGTACTATGCCTTGAGGACATGGTGCAGCATCTCTGGTCTCAGCCACTAGATGCCTTCCTACCCCAAGATGTGACAACCCCAAGGTTTCCAGGTCTAAGGAGTGGCCCCTTAGTCATGGTGGGACAGCTGCATCTAAATGCCAGCCCTGCCCTCCTCTCAACAAGCCACCTGGCTCCCGTTTTTCCTTGCATGGGAGCTGCCTGGGTGCAGATTAGGCAGGTAGGTATGGCTGCTCCCTCTAGTCCTCAAGCTACAGTTAGAGAGTGAGGGTTGGGGTGCTGTGAAGTCACCCCTTGAGCTATAAGAGACCATACTTATCCAGCCTGGGGACAGCTCTGGAGGTCCAGACTAGCAAACATGGCCCCCAGGGAATCTGTGGCCTCTGGTCTTAGACCAGTGTCCTGCATAGACCACAGCCACCATACCACAGGGCTCTGCTATAGGTCAGACTGCTGTGCTGCACACCCTGATGCCCGCCTGTGCTTTAGCCCCTCCACCACGTCAGGCAGGGCTCAGACCCTGAATCCTTGGCAGAACTCCACCTGCTGAGGGAATTGAACCAGCCCTCCATCATCCCCTCGGCCAGGCAGGTGAGAAGCCGGCACCCTGCCAGTTGTACTTGAGGCATTGCAGCCTGGGGCAGCAATCCCTCTGTGCACCTGGGCATCAACTTTTCCCCCGACAGGATGTTCCAGGCCTTATGAGTCCCTAGGAATAGAGCCAGGTCAAGAGGGACCTGGCCCCTTGGAGCCACTAAGATTCTCAAAGCAATTTCCTGTCAGAGCAGCTGTTTCTCTTTCTGGAAGATTCTAGGATTCAAAATAGCCAGAACATACCATTCTGTGGCAGGTGCCTACCCTCAGTGCCACAAGCTCAGGTGACAGCTGCATTCACATGTAGCACCCTGAGCCAGTGACAGTGCTCCCCCAGGCGAGCACTGAAGTTGCACAGGCCTTTGGGCTTTACACGTCTCGTTCTGTATGGAAAACCTCACACCGTGTCCCAGGCTTGTGTTTATTTCTCAGCTAGATCAGCCGAGATACTCACCCCTAACCCCCACCCACGCACACACTGCCTCAAGACTGGAGGTCTGGTTACCAGGTAGTCTGGGCTCCAGTCCAAGGCTGGCTGGGTCATGGTCACTTTTCCAAGCCTCAGGCATCCAACCCTGCCCCTAAAGGGCTACAACATGGTAAAGAGTCAGCCTTGATTCTCACATAGCCTGGCAGATCCTCACACCCCTGGACAGTTGGTCTGTGCCTCAGTTTCCCTACTTGTAGTACCAGTGCTCCCCATATATATGGGCCAGGCCATGGAACACATTCAGGCCCTGCACATGTAAAGACTGCATATTCCAGAATATTCCATTGCAGAGCAAGTAGGAGAGCCCTGGGTTGTAGGGGGCTCAGCTGAGGTGCTTTTCAAGGTGTTCTGTCCTGAGCTGCCCTGAACTACCCACCACAAGCTACACAGCCAGACCAGCTGCTGCTTGCCCTGTGATCAGGACCTAGGGCAGACAAGGTGTGAATAAGATATTTCTTAGAAGACCGGGCCTGGTCTGGGGTGGGTGGGCAACTCTAGTCTGGAGACTAGAATCATCAGACACGTCATAGATACAGAACACCATAGAAAGGGAATTGGATCTGCCCTTGGAGTGACCCTGGCTGACCCTGAATGACAAGTTCTTATGGGACCTCTTTCATAGGTCCCCTTTGCAGCAAGGTCCCTTGGTAATTTGATCCAGCCTAGCAGGTTGTGACTGAGGCAGTAGGTGGTGAATCTATAGCCACAGCTTGAAACTCAGTTCAAAACTGGCAAGTAGTTCCCCTTCTGTCAGGACCACAACATGCGCCTCCAGCCCCAAGTATGCCTTCGCCCCACCAGCCTCATAGTCTTGGGTCAAGCATTCCTGTCTCAAAATGCAGTCACCTGTGAGCCATGTGCTGTGGCTGTCGCCTGGAACCCAGAGCCACAGGATCCGTCAACTTAAAAGCTCACAGGGTGACCCGGGTCAGTGAAAGGCCGGCTACCCACCTTACCTGCTGTCCGGATACCCAGCTGTCAGGCTGGCACCATTGTATAGGAGGACTTCCCAGGCTTGATGAAACAGGCCATTTCATACAGAAGTTGACCTGGCCTCAGGAAGGGCCAGTAGCCATCCTAGCAGCCTGATGACCACACTTGACTACTCTGATCTAGACAGCTGGAGGCAACTCAGAAGGAATGCCACCCGGAGCCTGCGGGCAGAGTTGGTCATGTTTTAAAGGTTTTCTGGGATATGATTGAGGTATGTCATCTCAGTGGGTGGACCCTGAGTCTACTGACAGGTCTGTGGAAGAGGAAGGAGAGGGGACCGTGACACAGGTCAGGTGTGGGAAACCAAACGGAGTTTGAGGTTGGCCTCTGCCCCAAGCAAGGCATCTCTTGAGTGCTTGGGCTCTTGTCAACCCATCCTGTCCCTGTACTTGGGTGCAGATGTTCACACACTTAGCATGGCACAGGTCCCACTTACATCCTGGCAGCCCTATGCCAGGGTCTGCTCTGAGCTCCTTCAAAGTGAGGGGTTAGGGTTTAACAGGTGTTGCCAGCATGTGCGGTGGCCAGGATGTCAACCCAGGTCCCTATGATGCTATGTGGTCCCAAAGTTCAACTGGACTGTGTAAGGGGTGTTCAGAAGGTTCATAGGCCTGCCTGCTCCTGATCTGCACCCCACGGAGGAGCAGACACCCCTGCATCAGCCAGAGGCTCTGGAGCCCCAGCCCCTTATATAGACAGAGAGACTGTCTGTCCTCAGTCTGCAGAGCTCCTGTGGGCCTCTGGCCAGGCTACATTCCTCCATGCAGCCAGCAGAGAGGGGGTTCTACCCCTCTGCCTGCTAGTCTCCAGCCCCAGGAAGTTGGGGGATGTTCAGATGGCTAGGCAGGTGCATTCAATTTGTCACAATAAAAAGCCTTCACCCCGAGCTTTTGTTTATTATGGTATTTTGCTCCAGGAACATTCCGGAACTTGCAGTATGACCTCTGTCCACATCCTCTTACCAACATTCCAATCTCTTTGATGCATTCCAGGTGATGTGTCCAACCTGGACCCCAAGTTCTCCTTTGAAGGCACCAAGCTAGATGTGGGGAACATTGTGCTGGCTCTGTACAGTGGCCTCTTCGCCTATGGAGGATGGTAACATCTTGGTCCCTTACCCTGGGGACACATGTCCCTGAAATGCTGAGAATCCCAGAGCTCTGGCTGTACAGGGGAACTTGGGGGGCGGGGAGCACAGGGAGCCATCTTGCAAAGCTGTATAGGTGCCTCCATGGTCACCATTGGGTGACAGGTGGACAGCATGGAGGAATATAGCCTGGCCAGAGGCCCACAGGAGCCCTGCCCACAGTTCTCAGGTGCGCAGCCTGGCCCCTGTTCTCAGGATGGCCATTCAGAGACCCTGGACATTGGTGCTACACACCGAGTGGTATGACAGAACAGGGGTTATGTGTTCACCTTGGATACAGCTGGTTGCCAATGCAGAAAACGGGGTGAGCAACCTGTCCCACGGGTGTCCTGTGCCCAGCCGCTGACAACAGTGAGGGGCCCTGCGAGCCGACAGAAGGCTCTCCTGACCCCCCCCCC